ATTCGTTTCACACTCTGTTGACAAATCAGCTTAGAACTTTCCCTAAAAAATCACCTTCGCTGAGAACCACGGTCTGATGTTGACTTGCTGCAGGTCAGCGACCTTAAAGGCCATGTTTGGCATTTGAAGATACTAAAGCAAGCATCAGATATGATGGAACAGGTTCACTTATAACTATTCGTATACGTTTCAAAGTGCAAAAGACTGCCGTAGACAGCGCAATTCTGTCTAGTAAATATGTTCCTCAATGCGACTCGGTTTGATAACGTCATCGTAACTTGCACAACATTGATTGAGAGCCAACTGACGACCGTTATACGCGGTAATCGCGCTCACGAGCGCAATATATGAGTGACTTGACCATTATATTTTAATTGGCGTTGGTCGCCGTGAAATGGCAGGACCTGAATCACGCTACTACGGCGTCATAAATGTCGAAAGAACTTTGAAATACTCTCCCCGATATGCCTTTCTTCATTTTCGCGGGCGTATAGCTCAGAAACTAGCAAAACTACCCGTTATCTTAATCGCGCCTTACCCCAAAACAGAACGCCAGATATGAACGACTGTAACATTATATTTGTAACTGGTTACCCCCCTGGTCGCCCGCAATGGCCTTATGGCCACCAAACCTGGCATGATTTGAAGGTGACGCTCTTGTTCGCTCATGATGTCAAGTCACTTTGAAGCACTCTCCGGATATACCTTTCCCGATTTTCGCAAGCGTGTGGCTCAGAAACTATAGGTACTTAGGTCTTCAGGACTGTGACCAGGACCTAGAGACGTTCAAGGCGATCTTCAGATTTCAGTTTCAAAACCTAGTATAAATGTGGAGGGCTCCACTTGAAGGAAATAGTCCGCACAATCACCAACATGTGCAGACTATTACTGGGAGGTTATAGGTCACCCCGGCATCCATGACGCCGTAGCGTCATTTCAATTTTATCATTCCAACGCCATTGCAGCATCAAGGTCAAGAAAAACATCATTATTGAGTCGTTCATACCTGGCGTTCGTTGAGCACGATTTTCAGAACGCCGTCAATTGCCCTCGCGATCAACGTTGTCCACGGTTACAATGACCTTATCAAACATCGACGCAGTGAAGAGGCATATATTACTACACAGAGATACGTGTTGTCATCGAGCAGTCTTTTCCAATGACCATGTAAAACAATCGTTTAAGTGAGCTCATTTTATCATATATGGTGCCGCTCCAATATTTTTACGTGTGGAACATTCCTAATTCAATATAAATACATTTTTGGACCACAATATAGCTATTCAGTCGTCAACAGCAGCTCATAACAAACAGAACCTGACACAGATTCTGATAGCCACCTCTACAGCGTGAACGGGTCCTTACTCGCGCGGTGTTGAAACAGTTAGCCACATAACGGTATTCAGTTGTTTTTATTCCAGTTATGGGGATACGACCGCTCACGATCCTGGGTCCCTGATGGTGGCATTGGAGTGAAACCAGCACTTCAATCCCACCTACTGATTGGCATTTGAACCGCCAACTTGAATTAGCACGGCTCGTCGCGCTATAATTGAACATTTAAGTGAGCAGCAATCACTGTCCACTCTAGCCCGACTGCCGCATCTTGCAAATTAGTAACTGTAGATCACCTGTGCGGTGCACAACAAGCGAGGATTGGTTAGAGACTACACTTGATTAAAGACACCGCCATCGCATCCCAAACATACGCCGGCATACCCAGCTTTTAGAATTCGTAGAGGGCACGGTAGTACCATTTCTGAAATTATAAAGACCAGACCGGTTTTCCTTCAGGGTCCTTCGGCAGGGTAACACATCACCATGTGAGCACATAGCAACGATACGTTCCCTGCGCCTTCCGCGGCGTCGTTGCGGCGGTTGGCCTTAGAAACTCAGGGGTAGGGTAAATCCGTAACATGCTTAAGCATCTCACACAATGGACAACACGTAGGGTTAGACACATATTAAAAAGAGAAAAAAAGCACACACGGGCACTGGCGCTAAACAAAAGTGCACACAGTGTCTGGTGAATACTTTAGGAACTGCGCGGCCGTGTTCTGAAGCGGTCGAATATGTTCGCGGCAATGGTGAGAACACTGCGAATCAAGAATGCCATACCCTCGTCACCATATTCTAATAAATTGTTTCCTCATGCATCACAAAACAGGATGTGCTGAGGTGAATATATTCCAGCTGGTGTTTCAATCACCTTTACAAAGAAATAAGTGATATTAAAACAATTAAGCAAAATGTTGACCTCCCGCAATGTTTGAAATTGTTGGTCCCGTCTGTGGTTGTAAGCCTTGTTCGATACATTACAACGTGTCTGGCTACAGCTGGCTTCACACCCACCCACACCCCACACCCACACCCACACCCACACCCACACCACCACACACGCACACGCACGCACGCTCACGCACACCCACATCCACACACCCACAATATATATATATATATATATATATATATATATATATATATATATATATATATATAT